GGACTATGTAAACTTTAATATTTGATCAGTGAAAATAAGTAGGATTTTTTTGTTATACATTTGTATTCAGACGTGCTTTGATCTGAAGTTGACATAGAATGCTCTGGTACAAGAAAATGAGAACAGAGAGGACCGTGGAGGGGAATCCAGGAATGAAGTCAGCTGTGATGAACTCAGAGCAGGACCTGGCAGCTTTTGTTCCCTCTTTGTTCCTCTATAACATGAGAGGATACATGTATGACTCCCTTCCTCTCATAGTTAGAAGTAGCTGAGGGTTATAAAGAGTTATGATGGTTTTACTTGCCCTATATAATCCTCTACACCATCTACTTCCTGCTTCCATTAACCTATTCTAACCCTCTGTAAACAAGATAGGGATGTTCCCTGATGTATACACTGACTCTAATATAAACAGACCCACTGGTCTTCCTGAAGAGGACCTCCAGTAATGGCTTAGCATAATAAATTTAATTCCAGCTCTAAAATGCACAGTATGTTATTCCTAACCTACCACGACTCCATGTTAGCATGTTACTTAGACTTCTTTCTGATCAAGCTAGAGTCACACAGAAAACTGTAGAAAAAGGCTACTTTAGCTTATCAAAAATACTCTGTCTTCAGTATTCATTTGATAGGAAATAACTCTTCTTTGGCCACTGTAATACTGGAATTGGAAGAGTCTTGTAAAATTTAAAATTCATGAGTCAGTACATTTACATTCCATGAGTTACCCAGTCTACATATCTCATTTAAACCTAAAATTCCTCTTTCCTCACTCTCATCTGATGACTTGGTTTCCTATTTCACTAAGAAAACAGAAGCAATTAAAAACCAAACTTCCACATGCTGTCAATTCTACACTGACCAACCTGCATCCATGTCCAAACAGTCCACCTCTCCCAGGATCACAGATGGACTTCTGTACTCAATTCGCTCATGCTTACACATATTTTGCTCCTAAAACTCTCCCCTTTCTCGTCTTAATCATTAACATTTCTTAACTCCATGGGATCATTTTCATTAACGTCAAAACATTCTGTAATAGGGCCCACCTTATAAACTACCCTCCCCTCCTCTCTATTTTCTCATTTCTCTGCTCCCTTTTATAATAAAAATCCATATTTTCATGGTAAAGATTTTATATTTTACCCACATAATGACACAGAGATCCAATTTTCTTAAAAAGTAGAATATTCCCTCTTTCTTGCTACCATCCCTATAGACACAACCTCAGATCTGATAGGCAAGTTTTCTCCTTAGATCAAGGTTCTAACTCAACAGTGAACAAGGCATTCCAATCATTGTTTAAATAGCAATGCTGTCAATAACATACAAGACAACACAGAATCCAGCTGCTTCTTTTATACTTACTCTGATTCCCCGCTACACTATGAGCAAAAACCAATTTTTCCACAAACTTTAGCAGATGTTTTAAATGACTTCTAAGAAACAAGAATTAAGGGGTATGTTTGCATTAGTCCACATTACCATTAGGATGTTAATATCCTAACACAAACATTTTTTGATACGGTGTTGAAAATAAATCTTCTCAATACAATAGAATAGAAATACATATAAAAAATATTACTCATATTTACAATCAAACTTTGACAAGAAATCTCTTTGAAGTAAGTAGAGAAGAGCCACAAAATTCTGTGTTGAACTGGACCTCATTACATTATCCTAGTTTAATAGTTCACAATCAAGACATCAATGGCCAAAAGAAGAACCTAATTGCAACTGATATTTACATCTGATTTACTTATTTGTAATTTTCCTAAACATAAAGGCAAGATTATAATTGCTCATCCTCATAGGACAGGAAAGCAGCACAATCTTCTTTCTTGTTGAGTTCTAATAAAATATGCAATCTATTTTATTTATATGTTTAAATGTTTTATATATAAAGATGTATCTTGATCATAAAAAAGGACATCCATCAGTTAATCTGACCTTATAAAATATGAATAGCATTATTTATATAGGGAAAGGAACTCTGAAGAATCTTACAAATTCAGTTAATAACAAAAATCATTGCACTACAGAACTCAACAAAGAAGATTATGTTGTTTTCCTGTCCTACTAAGATGAGCAATTATAATCTTGCCTTTAATGTTTAGAAAAATTTAAATCATTCAATCAGATGTAAATACCAACTGAAATTAAATTCTTCCTTTGACCGATGTCTTAGCTATGAACTATTGAGGTAGGACAATGTAATGAGGTCCTGTTGCACACAGAATTTTGTGGCTATTCTCTACTTTTTTCAAAAGAGAGTTCTTGTCAAAATTTGATTATAAAATGAGCAACATAAAAAATGTCATTATATAAAGAGCATATATGTACTTAACTAAGGATTTTTTGTATACTAGCTATAAAATATGTGTATTTCCAAATACAGCTGCCACAGAGTTGAACGGAATGTACACTCCAGACCATAAAAATGAAGGAAAGTACCACCTAGAGGCAGCACTGAACTGCAGGCATTTGGTGCCCGGATTTGAAGGCAGAGAAGCTGCCGTGGAGAGGGCTCACTGTTAGGCCAATATAACATTGGCAAAAGGTCTCATAAGCCTTAGTTTTTTTAATTAACTGTAATCCTTGATTATTTCCAGAACTGCCTTTAGTAGGTTATCTAGTTCAACCAGCTCACTTTGCAAATCAGGAAACTGAAACTTAGAACTATTACAGAATTGTCCCAAGGTTACCCAGCAGTAAAGGAGAGCTGGGCTGGCACCCAAGCTCCTCACTCTCTGAAGTAATTAATTACACTCATTTTGGAAAATGTGCTAGGTACAAAAGTATTTTTAAATGTGAAAAATTATTGTTCTACAGTATTTAAAATGATTTTGATTTTTAAAAATAGTATATTGTATATATTTTCTTTATAAGTCAAAGAAGCTACAAAGAATAGGCATGCTTACAGTACATTTTTCTAAATTCTAACATCTTTCAAGAAGTGTAAAGTATAATGTTCATAGAGTCTAATTTATATCTCTTAAAATGTATTTATTTGGCAATAAGCCTTTTCAAGATATAGAAATTATAGTCCCTTTCTGCTAAAGTCTTATTAAATTACTTATCTATGTTTTTAATGCAAACGTTCATTCTCTTGCATTAAAAAAAACCCTTAACTGAAGAGGGAAATGTAGTTTGGCACTATGTATATCCTGAATATGGTTAATTTTTTTTTTATTTCATTCTACCCTGGTAGAATCTTATCTAGACCAGAGGAACAGAACACAAGTTAAATGCGAGAAATAAAGAATGGACTTAATATTTATTGACTACTATTTCCCAAATTTTATTATTTTATTTCACTTTCATTTCATTGTAGACAAACTTATTCCATACATCTAATTTGACCCTTTCACCAAATCCCTTTAAAACAAGAATAAAGAGATTTTTAAGAAAAATGAAACATATAAAGCCACAAGAAGTAAACAGGAGGAAAGACAGCCACAACAAAATTGTGGAAGATGGAAAGCAACTGGTTAATTACTGAATAATATAGCCGTTCTGAAAAAAACGAAGTCCTAAGGTCAGAAGTGAAGAAAGCTGAAAACAGACTGGAATTTCACTGCAGAATCCCCAACAGAGTGAGAAACTGGTTTTGCCATGCACTCCTAGATGTAGGCAAAGGAGATAAGAATTGGTTGCAAGTCTTTTTAAGAAAGAGCCAGGACCCCAGATTCATTTTCCCACTCTCCTCAGCTGGGAAATTTTCCCTTCCCAGTCCTGACAAAGATTAGCGGTTTATTTTCTGAAGAAGAATAAAACAAGTCTCTGGACTGGGAAACACTCAGATAATTAAAGAGCTCCCAGATAATAAAGAATGATAGCAGAAATAAAAAACTAAGTAGCAGTGGTGGGGGACAAAGCAAGTTAATTAAATCTGTTAGAAAGAAAAGCAAACAAACAACAATAACAAACAACCAAAGTTATACAGAATATAAAAGACTCAGGCCAGAGTTCCAATATCTGGATAACAGGACTTCAAGAAAGAAAGGGAAAGAAATCAACAAAGAAATAATTCCAGAAATTCACTTTCAAAGAAGCACCTGTATTTGAAGATAAAAAGTCTATTCACTGAAAATTTAATAAAAATTGATAAAAATAGACCCACCACAAGACATACCATCATAAAATTTCATAATATGGGAAATGGAAAGATTCTAAAGGCTTCTCCAATTCAAATTTAAAGGACTAGGAACTATAATGGCTTTGACTTTTCAATAGTAACCCTGATACTATTGAAAGTACATTTCAAGAGTATACATTCTTCAAAAGACATTTAGACATTTGTGAACAGTTAGGAGTACTAAATGGCATTTACAAAGGCATACAAATAAATGTGTGGATACCGATCTCATCAAAGTTACTGTATAAGTATTTTGGGAGGATTGAACAATAGAAGGGATGAAACTGAGGTTTGTGGAGGGAAGCCAAGAAAAAAAGCTAAATCTTTACATTTATGGTGTGAAATGAAGAGATAATACCTAAAACTAAAACCAATACATAACAATATGATCATACTATTTATCATTTACCTGAAGGTAGTAAGCAAATAATTGGCTAAAGATGTGAAAGTGGTTGCCTGTGGAAAGACCAAATTGGGGGAAATACAGCAGTAGAGGGAGCAGGCAGACTTCCCTGCTGGTCAGTAGCATAAAAGTTACAACTGTGAGTCTAGGATATTTTAGCCCAGCTTTTATTTGTAATCCACCATGAAAGTACAAAGACTGGTTATCTACTGTCTGGTCAAAATACATTGCTGCCAGAGTATGTATTTAATAAAATAATTCTGTAAAAGAACTCTTCACATCTAGAACCAAAAATGCTCATATGGTGATTCACTGAAATTTATGTCCTCAAAGTTCTACAGGCCTACAGAGCCCTCCAAAGAGAGACACTGCAGTTTGAACACAGCAAATATTTCCATTGTCCTGATGCTACCTCTTGTCCTACTTCTGTGCTTATAAACATGGCACTATTTTTACCTTGAATAATGGATGGCTTGGTGGCCTGCAATATTAAAATAGAAGTCTGTTGTGTGCTGCATCTCATTGGTGTGCCCAGTGGCCTCAATCCAGTGTCCTATTGGGAGACAATAAACGCCATCCACCAAGTTGTTTTCATTATAAGTATAGCAACGGTCATGGTGAGGTCCATTGCCTAGAACAAAAAGAAATGAAAAACAGAGCAATTAAATCAATGTTTTGCTTAAGCAGACACAAAGTAGCTGATGAAAAATTAATAGTAAAGTGAAAATAAATATAAAGCTGCTTAATCTACACACTTCAATATGAACAAAACCAGACTAGAGTAAGAAGGAAATGGCAGAAATCTGTAGAGCTACTTATGAATTTCACTGACTACATCATGAATACATGGACATTTCCAAAAGCATAATAAACTCTCAGAATTTCATGGTAACTCTCAGGGTCTAAAGCCCATTATGAGTCATTTTGCAGCCTGGTAAGCTGCTGAAAAAGGTTTTTAAAGCCATTAATGTTCCTGTATTACATTTTTTATTTTTCTGGGATGCAAATTCATTATTAAAATCAACAATAAAAATGTTTTAGTATCAGCTCAAACAATACATATTAAAAATAAAGACATTAATAAATGGTAAAACAGGTGATCACATCCAATTTTGTTTGCATGTAAATCAGTAGTTAGCATTATTTTCAGATGGGGAAACTAAGTATCACAGAGATTGACAGGCTTGCCCAAGCTCACATAACTAGTAAGTACAGAGCTGCAGTAACCCCGTGCCTCTAATGCCCCTTTCAGGCACCTAGCACTTTTGTGCTGTCTTCCGCCTACTTCACAAACACCAAGACACACCACCCTCCCTCACGGGAATGCAGCAGGAGGCACAGACAGAAAAGCCCATCACGGAAAACACTACCTGACTACACTAGCCTGTATTAACTACACCAGCAAACAAATCCTTTATTTCATGAAAATTATAATTTTTACATGATTTTTCTTAGCCCGTCTAATGTGACCACATCATTTCAAATCATTCTTTTCCTTTAACTAATTTCCACATAAAGTCAGTAAGAAAAACATATAAGCAAAATAAAAATAGGAGTAAGTCATATTTGTTTAGAATATGAAAATTTGCCTCATTTCTTCCTTGCTCTGTCTTACAAAACATTTTACCTGAAGTCATTTGGCACAAAATTGTGAAAAAAAAATCCTTAAGTCATTAAAGGAATTCTCTAGGATACAACTCCCTTCCATCGGCTAGAAGGTATGAGATGGCTCCCATAATAAATCATCACTGGTCTTCCTAGATCAGATTCCTCTTTTTCTCTTGATGGCTAAAAGGCACTACAGCAAGTGCTCTATTAACCTTGACATTTAATAGATGAAAAGCAAACTATACCAGCAATCTCACTTCTAGAAATATATCCATCAGAAATACAAGAATACATGTGTGTAGCAATACTATTTTACTGGCAAACACTATAAACTACATAAGTTCATCTATTCATTCTTCCATAAATATTTATTGAATGTAAACTACATGACAGGCACTGTTAAGTCATCTTAAGGATTTTAATATATGCCACAGAATAATAAAAAAAATTGAAATATTTAAAGCAGGGAAGTGATAAGACCAAATTTTATTTTGAAAGCATCTTGCTGCTTACAGAGTGAAAAAATTAATCCAAGTACAATAAAATTAGAGGCAAAAAGTCCATTTAGGAAACTACTGCGTTAACCCAGGCAGAAGATGATAAAAACCTAGAGGTACAAATGGAAGGAAGTGGGTGGATTAAGGAGGGAAAAGCCACAAGACTTGCTGTTTAATTGGATATGGGAGATAAAGGTGAAAAGGAGTCAGTAATGACTCCTAAGCCTCCGGCAAATATAACTCAGTATCTAGTGGTACCATTCATTGTGTTGAGAAATCTAGGAAAGGTTGAAAGAGAAGATAATCAGTCTGGTTTTGGCATGTTGGGCTTGGAGTGCTGTTGAGATACAATAGGAGACATCAGCTAGAGAGCTGGGAGTCATTGGCTTCACTCAGACCTGAGATCTGACTGAATTAGAAAATGTTTATTAATCATCTAAGTGTAAATTGTAATTGAGACAAGGATATATATGAGTCACAAAGAAAAACAATATTGAGAACAAAAGGGTTATAAAACCAAGTCTAAAAGCATCCTAACATTTAATACCTAGATAAAAAAGGATAAGCTTATAAGGGATGCATAGAAATAGAAGCTGGAGAGAAAAACTAGGAGTAAGTGAGGTGGGAGGACATGATTGAAAGGGAAACCAATTAAAATACAGATACTGGCAGAATGGATTTTCTTAATGAACCAACTCTGTGCTGCCTAGAAGAAACCCACCTAAAATTACATAGGCAGGTGGAAAGTTAAAGTATAGAAAAAGACATACCATGCAAATATTTACCAAAAGAAAGCACAATTGGTTATATTAATATCACATAAAGTCAAGTCTTCAGTTCAAAGTAAATTACTAGGGATAGGAAAATTATATGATTTTAATATTACAATCTTCCAAGAAGACATAGCAATTCTAAATGTGTATGTAACAAAAAAAAGAGCTGCAAAATATGTGAAAGAAAAACTGAGAGACTTGAAAGGAGAAATAGACAAGTCCAGAATTATAGTTTGAGGTTTCAACACCTCTCTCTCAATGATTCATAGAACTACTAGACAGAAAGTCAGCAAGGAATAACTCAACAACACTATCAAACAACTGAATCTACTCAACAGTATAGAAGATAACCCCCAACAATAGTAGAATGTGCAACACTTTCATGTGTGCACAGAACATATACCAAGATGAACCATATCCTAGACCATAAGACACTTTCACAATTTTAGAAGAATTAAATCATACAGAATACATCCTCTGACCTCAAAAGAATCAAACTAGAAATCAATAATTGACAGGTAATAGAAAAATATTCAAATAAATAGAAATTAAACAATGTACATCTAAATAATCTATGGGCTAAAGAGGAAGTCCCAAAGGAAATAAATAAATGGAAATGAATGAAAATTAAAATACAACATATCAAAGTGTGTGGGACATAGCTACAGGAGTGTTGAGAGGAAAACTTGCAGTGCTGAATGCATAGTTGCAAATCAATAATCTAAATTCCACTTCAAGAAATTAGAAAAAGAATACAGTAAGCCCAAAGGAAAGTGAAGGAAGGAAATAATAAAGAATGCAAATGAATGAAATTGGAAACAGAAAAACATTAAACAAGAATCAATGAAACAAAGAGCTTCATTGAAAAGATCAATAAACTTGGCAAACCTCTAGAAGACTGACAAAAGCACAAGATACCAGAAAGAAAGAAAGGGGGGGAGGGAGGAAGGAAGGGGAGAGAAAAAACAAGGAAGAAAGAAATGAGGGATATCACTACAGACACCAAATGTATAAAGGGATGCTGTAAACAACGCAACATACATAAATTTGACAACTAAGATGAAATGGAGTATCCACAAAAGAAAACAAATTGCCACAACTCATAAAATGAAATTGATAATTTGAATATCCCTTAAGGATATTGAATATATAATTTTAAAACCCATAAAAAAGAAATCTTAAGGTCCAGGTGATTTTCCTGGACAATTGTACCAAATGTTTAAAGAATCAACACCAGTTCTATACAATCTCTTCAACGTAGTGCATAGGCAAAAACCTAAAGGAAAGAAACAAACTGTATTTATTTGCAGATGACATAACTGTCTATGTGGACAATCCTAAGGAATCAAGTGTTTTGGGGTTTTTTTTCCAAATGAACTGGAAAATGTTTATAGATTTCCAGTTCACTTTCTGTTCCACAGGACTGGCCTCAGAGTGCAATATATAACACATTGTTCATGCCTGGAAGGTTAGTTAACTTTTCCAGGTCTCATCTACCTTTTAAGAGTCAGTTGGCTATGCTGTGACAGGTTAAAGGTAAAAGGCAGGGAAATTGGGTGGGGAACAGGTAGGAATGAATTATCTGTCCAGATTGTAGCTGGCCATTGCCAGTTATTCATTGGCATTAATTTAAAATAAGGATACAAACAGCTCACTAGGCGAGATAAACTAATCTGTGCTATGGTAAGAAAAATTGACAAGGATTGGTTTAGTGAGCAATAAATACCTATTTGTTTAGCATAGATTTGGCCATAGTGTTATTTGTTAGGTAAGTTAAAGTAAAGTGAACAAACATCAAGGAGTAAGAATCCTGCTTTCCAGCACTGCAATTAAAGCCAGAGAAGAAACTGCAGGATTTTAAACCTCAAAACTAATGCATTATTTTAAATAGTTCTATAAATTTGAAAGTTCTGGTTTAAATGAGTGTATTTTTTATAAAGTCAGAACTTCTAAAATTATATTGGACAGCAAAATCTATTGGGTAGTGTAGTCTATTTAAAATTAAAATTCTAATTATTATTCATATATTATTTGAATCTATCCTCCTTGGAGTTTAATTACTTTGCAGAATTTATTTCCAGCACATGAACATAAATTATGAACCTAACACATTAATCTCTAATTTTCCCTAGCAATTCACCCAAATCAGATTCTCTAATGCCCCATCTGTTACTACCTCAGAGGCTACTGGTGCATAAAGTTGTACAAACATGGTTTAATTACTACGAACTCTTCGGCATTTTGATATTCTGTTCTAATGGTGAAAGCAAAACAAAATAAAACAAAAAATCTTTTTGTTCAACCAACCATCTCTTTGAAAGAGCGGGTTCTGTTCTGGTTAAGCACTTTGATAAACTGCAAAACACAATGGCAGAAAATATCTGAGTTTGGATATATTGATGAGAGACAGCTGCTTTGCACCATACAATAGAAGACTTCAGTGCAATCAAGGAAGGAGACGATGGGAGAAGAAGATGTGAAGATTTAGGAGGAAGAGGAGAGGTAAGATGGAGAAAGAGCAGAGAGATCTTGCTTGTAAACTTTATCAAGCGAAGTGAATAATCAAAACACACTGGTCATGAGACCACCAAAGAGCAGGAAAGGCAAGCATTTTAATACTTAACTTGAAATTGTTTGCCCTTCTGTGATATTCTTCTTATCAGCCTCCCCAGCCTTCAATATAACCTTCTATACTCACAGACAAATTTCTAGTTTGGAGACAGGGTAGTTCACTATCGAAAATTAATTTGAAA